GTCTCAGGTGGGAGGCTGTCCAGCTTGGTCTTAAAGGCTGCCAGGGTTGGGGCAGTCACTGTCTCAGGTGGGAGGCTGTCCAGCTTGGTCTTAAAGGCCGCCAGGGTTGGGGCAGTCACTGTCTCAGGTGGGAGGCTGTCCAGCTTGGTCTAAAAGGCCGCCAGGGTTGGGGCAGTCACTGTCTCAGGTGGGAGGCTGTCCAGCTTGGTCTTAAAGGCCGCCAGGGTTGGGGCAGTCAATGTCTCAGGTGGGAGGCTGTCCAGCTTGGTCTAAAAGGCCGCCAGGGTTGGGGCAGTCGCCGTCTCAGGTGGGAGGCTGTCCAGCTTGGTCTAAAAGGCCGCCAGGGTTGGGGCAGTCACTGTCTCAGGTGGGAGGCTGTCCAGCTTGGTCTTAAAGGCCGCCAGGGTTGGGGCAGTCGCCGTCTCAGGTGGGAGGCTGTTCTACTGCTGTGTTGTCCTGGGGAAGAAGGATTGATTGTAATATTCCTTATTTGCCTGTAATGCATGCAGCCTATGAGATTCTCTTGTTCTTGTGTCGCCACTTGAGGTATATTGATCAGCTGGGATATCCACCAGGTCATCGTTCTGGATCTTGTTCATCATGGTCAGTCGAGCTTTGGATTGTCGTAGCTTCAGACTTTCCCATCCGAGTGAATGATGTTGATGACTGTGCCTGGTGTATATGTGTGTACTCTCCTGTGACAAACCTGGCTGCTGCTCTCTGTGTCTTCTCAATGGTGTTTCTCAGGTTGGTATTTGCTGGGTTTATTTTACCGTTGAAGCATACTTTTCAGAAATTATTTATCAAACCTAAAGACATGCTGGAAAAAAGGGTCCAATACTTAGTTACAGTTTTTCTTTCTAGACAAAAAAAGAGATTGATATAACAGATGAACTATATTGTAGTTGTTAATTACTATAGATAGCAGATATATGGGTCATCTGGACTATATTTTGACATGTAGGCCCAGAGTTGTTCATTAATTTCTGAAATAGAGACAAACTCTGGTCCTGTTCGATTATGCTGGTTAGTAATTTTTTTTAAAGTAATACAAAGTAATTTAAAGCACGATAAGTCCTAAACAAATACCTCAACACTAGCTCAGTCACAGATATGATACACAACTTGCAATGGCCAACACTACATGCACGCAGAACAGGAACACACATTATTCTTCTCTACAAAATAATACACCAACAAGTAGCAATACCACTAACAATCTCATCCCCGCAGACACCAGAACACGTCAAGGACACGACCGTAGTTACAGACATATCTACACATCCAAAGACAAAGCCTTAAAAATGACTATCAATGTTTGAATTAACATTTGTATATCATCTTTACATTCTATAACATTTTAACAAGTAGGAATAGACGAACAGGTCCTACCACAAAATGGTGTGTGCTGATCATGATCGCTACATACAACAAATGATTGAAATATTTCCACCAAGCGGCCTAACTCAGAATTAATGTAGAAACAGTATAACAGAATGTACACGGATAGACCACATTTCATCAGTGCCAATTCATGATAATCAAAACAATTGAGATTTTACCGTAGATAACTTCAAGTTTCAAGCTTGATATCGCAGCCATCTTGAATCCATAAGCAACAATGGATCATTATCTTAACAACGCTTGTAAACAAATTTCCAGACAAGCGTTCGTGTGATTTAGAATATGAACAATTTACATTCGCGTATCCGGTTGAAACGGTTGAACCTGTACAGAAAACGACAGCTACAGATTTGGACCGAGGCTGACCTCAGGAAAATTTGGTACGTGTAGATTGAGGGGTCCAGACGTACCTGACCGAAACTAAAATGTTGACTATTGCCAATTTGCGTTATTTCTTTCTTAAACAATGTCAAGTCACATGTAATTTATAAGATACGGTATGTAATTTAGTGGACGCGTGAGAGAAGGATATAATATTCTTGATACATTGTTTTTTATTCTCCGAAACTGTGGATTTTTAGCTCTGCTTATAGAACGGTCCAAGTGTGTTCGTTTCCTAGTGGAAAATTTCTGCGCCACACGTACCGTTTCAACCGGGATACGCGAATGTAGCCTTAGTTAAGGCATAGACCTAAATTAACTTTAGGTCTCTGGTTAAGGTTAAGCCGGAGCTATCAGGGCCGTTTTCGTTTAAACGGCCAAACCGGTCGGACCACAGTTGTTCGTTTATCAAATAAGGTCGGACCGAGTAATCTAATGCTGCTTTCAGGCGAGCCTTGACAAAGCCTTGCAAGCCCTGCATAAACACATTTGCAGGTCCACCAGGATTAATACCCGAAATTGTTACATTTATAAACGGTCAAACCGGTTGTTCCGCATAAACGAACAGGCCCCAGTATGTGACATTAATTTATTATATAATTTGAAATATTATGATCAACTGTTGACCTTTGCCCTTTCTTGAGGTAACTATGTAATTATAAATATATAACAAGAGAACATTCGTTTCCCAACTAAATTAACAATTTAACATACAAAGGCACGCTGAACACCAACAAGAAGTAACGAGTATGATATATGTTTTACACGTGCTAATTAGCCAACTTGCTAGAATCAATCCAGATCTTTGTATATGTTACAACCACGGACTAAGATCAAGTGGCGGACCCAGGGTGTTGCCCGGGCAACATCCTTTTTTCAGTGTCCAAAAATAATCTGGAATTAGGTTTTTGAAGATTTTCCTCTTTTTTTTTTATATGGGATTTTCTTCTTATATACTGTGAACTATATTATTTTCTATGGCAAGCAGCAGTTTGAATATCTATATATGCCTAAGGGTGCAGTTGCCCAAACAAGGAGTCCACTACTTATACTCTAAACAATAGGGGACTAATCCTCTTTTGTTTATATATTAGTAGGGTCTCCAGTCAGGTCAGTGGTGAATCACAGGTAAATCAACTTCTGATAACTAATCAGATAATCAATAGCTGCTAATAATTGCAAAATAATAATTAATATTTAGAGTTCAGATCCCAAGCTGTTCTTCTGATAACTAACCAGATAATCACTAGCTGCTAATAATTGCAAAAGAATCAATAATATTTAGAGTTCCGATCCCAAGCTGTTAAATGGGTAATGTAAAAAACAGCAGCACACTTTGGAGAATTATCATATTTTGATCTGTACTTGGAAACATCAACTTCTTTACTCAGTGAATGTGAATTTTGTATTCAGAATTTGTCATCGTTTTAGTTAAACTTGTACTTTCAGACTTGTGTGATTTCTCTTATAATTATTGTCATATAAAACTTGTACTTATTTTCAGATAGAGTGTTTTGCGCTAGAGACTTGAGTGATATATATAGAGAATGTGATTTGTGCTAGAAACTTCAGCTTCATTTAGTGGTTTACTGTTTATATACATGTTTAATAATTATCCTTTAGTGCTGTATTAAATATGTATTACTGTTATATGTATGAATAGAAACTTTATTTTATTGCTGACATTAGTATCAATCTGGCTTGAATTAGGGAAATTTATTTTTCATATAATGTAATGCTATTTTTTTCTCTCCATATAATGTAAATATCAATATTAAATGATTATTTTCTATTACTTAGTGCTGTATTAAATGTGTATTACAGTTATTATATGTATGAATAAAAACTTTCTATCCATTTTATTATTGACTTTAGTATCATATCTACAAAATGAGTTGACATTCTTTGTTGAAACAGGCTATAACTAAACTTCAAAGGATTTCCTATATAAACACCTTCCTTTGAATTTTCCAGAGTTGGTATTCGGGGAATGAGCCGCTCAACGGACTGTCTACCTAATCGTATCGTTCTAAAATCACTGTGTGGTGATCACCCGGTCTGTTAGAGAGAGGATAAAATCATCTGTTGGAATTAGGTATATATATGCTATTGTTATTTCAAAGGTAGAGTCCATTTCATGATAGATAAACCTGTATTTTCACCTGTTGTTTCATGTACATTGTACGCATGATCACCAGGAGTGATTTATAATAGCTGTTAAAAATTGTAAATTTCAAAAATGTCAAAGACAATAAAGCATCCACCTTAGCATCACGTTATCAGGTGAATAATAAACAATGTTAGCATAAAAGCCTGGCATGTATATATTTATCCTTTTAACAGGTGTTGCCCTTGTACATATGCATGCATACAAATTCACAATAAAAGACAAACAGTCAAATCATAATTCATATTTATGACAAAATAAATCAATATTTAATTGCCAAAATGCTCGCCTTAACTACATGCACATGAAAGGCATGACACAAACATCAACATTTTAACCAAAAACCTAAATGTTTACCATTGTTTCAGAGAATTTGTTAACACTCGCTCCGCTCGGCCATCATAAAATATGAATACTCTATGTTATAAAATATAACCTGGAATAATACCGCAAACTCAGAAAAACTATTCTATGCCTGCTTCGATCTGTTTGACATTGGAAATAATGTCCGATAAATTCTAGCTTTCTACGCTTGGCAGTGCTTCAACAAGTTAAGTTTTATATCTTCAGAAAAAATAGTTCACCTCACTCTGCCCGGCAGGGTAATTACAATTGTCACAATCTCAGAAATAATGAAGTTCTATTTATTGTTTGGTGCCAGAAAGTAGTATACAGGTACAACCGACATGACAATTATAATTTATTAGTTTTTTTTAGTCCTTTTCTGGGTTTAACATTTTGGGCAACACCCAAAATTAATTTCTCATTTTATTTTTCATAAATAGAAACTATCCACTTTTCATTTCTATCACAATTTAATATTTCGGACACGTGGTTTTATAAAAAAAAAAAAAACGCGAAATACCATCCATCAGATTACGTAGGCCCCTGAACCGGCGTTACTGTAAGGGACACCTCTGGTATTTTTGAGAATATTTGGGGATAAACGATCAATATCGGCAGAAAATATGCATAGTTGAGATATTTTAGAGTCAAGGAGGGTTCTGATTAAATTTCTTCTCCAAACTAGCATTAGTTTTGATACAATAGACTTTTGAAAATGATACCCAAATAAATAGCGTCGCACGGCACGTAAATCTTCTTACCTTTAAATTGTCAAAGTGACGATAATCGGCAGCCAATAAAGCTTAATGCAGTTTAATTGTCATGAAAAGTATTATCAAATGAAAACTGTATACATTAAAAGTACTTCTTTGCATTGAATGAGAGTTTCTTGGGCCTTTTTCCCACAAGTGTCCCGTTTTGGGTACAGTAAATATCCAGGTGTTTTCAGGAGGCCATATTTTTTTTAACAATGCCCATAAGGTATCATTATTATAGCGTTTTTAGTCCTTTCCACATTATTCTTTTAAAATAACCATGGTTTACAATTCTTTACATTTTCTTATTTCAAATGAGTACATCCTTAAATACAGCTAGGGTCACTTTATAATACGACCTCGCGACGTACATCTTAGTTAACAGCATGGTTTATATTCATATACCATGCTTTCAGGTTTGGTGAACCTTCGAGAAACACGTATTGTATAAAGCGAAACACTTCTGGTATGTCAAACACGCTATACTTGTTGAAGGTGGCAACTTTATTCAGGATAATTCTGTGTCCATCTCTTCACCACGTCGCTCCAGCTCCTTTTCATTTGAGTTTGTTCGAACTTTCTGCTTTGATGGCCATACTAATCGAGCTGAATGCCATTACCTTAATTACGTTATTGTTGATGCTGACCAAAACTCTTCGCCGATATCATTGGATCAGTAAACATAAATTTGATTGGTTTATCGATTATTTTCACATATTATGCCCGCCACGACGAGAGTCTGCATCAACAGATATCAGAGTTCCATAACAAGGACAGCAGTGACACACAAACGTACTGTACACGTAAACATAATGTCTTGATTAGTTCATTGATTCAAACCTGTTTTATTGCCAATGTAACTAGCAGTGGGATTGGGCACACGCTGAACAATTTATACCAAGTCCTTTCCCTTTTATTTTATTTTAATGCTTACTTACCCCTTTCCCTTTTATTTTATTTTAATGCTTACTTACCCCTTTCCCTTCTATTTTATTTTAATGCTTACTTACCCCTTTCCCTTTTATTTTATTTTAATGCTTACTTACCCCTTTCCCTTTTATTTTATTTTAATGCTTACTTACCCCTTTCCCTTTTATTTTATTTTAATGCTTACTTACCCCTTTCCCTTTTATTTTATTTTAATGCTTACTTACCCCTTTCCCTTTTATTTTATTTTAATGCTTACTTACCCCTTTCCCTTTTATTTTATTTTAATGCTTACTTACCCCTTTCCCTTTTATTTTATTTTAATGCTTACTTACCCCTTTCCCTTTTATTTTATTTTAATGCTTACTTACCCCTTTCCCTGCGATGTCAGGAAACCGAGGGTAAATGAAACTGCAATTCAATTCCAGATTGATGGAAATATGGCAAAATGTCAACAAGGAAAATATTTATATAGTAACTATTGAAAAGGTACAAGAAGAATGATACCAGAGAACGTATTCATGAAACTGTTCTCATTTTCAAACTCGAGTCCTGTACATGTGCTCAAGTCCAATTTCTTGTTCCCGAATTAAAATAATAAAAATTAATAACACTTTGTCAATGATCGACAAGAACTTTAGAGATACTTCAAGCCGAATACTGTTGTCCAATTTTACTGTTAACTTTTTGACTGTTACATAATTTTATCATGTTTAAAGGATGTTGGCTTGAGCACGTAATAGTCATACTCGAGGATGAGAACGGTTTCATGAATTCGGGTACAGGTGTGCCTCTAGCATTCAACAATTCTAGCACTGCCCAACCACGTACTCATTTACAGCTGAGTAGACTGGAACAAGCGGAGAGAAGTATCTTGCTCAAGGATACAACAGTTACACAGTGCCGTGACGTGACTCGAAGGTCACGAGCCCGGCGTCCGACCGCTAGACTATCGTACCTCGTGTCAAAAACCTGTGCTAAGTTTGGCTGTTGCAAACATTTATAACGGCAATGATCATGAGACGACAAAGCCTTTTTAAATCAATTTCGAATCAGCTGCGATGCGTTTACCCCGTACGTAGGCGGGGACACAGCGGTGTAGCTATAAAGAAAGAGAATGTTCGCGAATGAAAAGTCAAAATCGTCCTTACATAGCGTATAAGCAAGCTGTCAGTCTTTGTCGGTCATACTATAAGTAAAGATCGAAATAAGCGGTTAATACTTCGGTATCTCTTGAGGGTATATCATTGGCGTGGTCAATACATTTCTAATATAAAAGCAAAACTGAAGGATGTGGTATGCCTTTGTTACTTGTCCTGGTAAGCTCTTCAATTAAGCCCCAGAACATGTATGTGTGACAAAAACACTGTGCACGTTACATCTCGTTAAACATTAAATATCAAGCAAAGGAGTTTGGTATTACTTTCAAATATCTCGTCCATCAGTTAAATTTAAGACGGAATCCACGGATATTGTTTTGATTTGTTATTTGCAATCTATTTCTGAACATTTCCCCCAATCAATCACGCTTATATAAGACAAACTTTAAGTTTTATAACTTGTGTCTTATCCCTTTTGTATTATTTGCAAATAAAATATGTTTAAATCAAAATCAATCATGCTCATTGTTGGAACATAATTGATCTCAGACAAAATACTAAATGTATTGCCCTCTGTTGCGGCACTCTCTGCTTCCTTGAGTACTATTGTCTGCCATACGATTAGCTCTTACTACGATAGATTGCTGTAGTCTGAGGGCTGTGTGAAGATGGCCCATTCCTATAGTGATAGCCCCTCCGTCTCCATAGGAAGTCATTTTGTAAACGACTGACAGGTCGCGCTTTTGGTTTGCCTTGTTTGTGTTTTACGTCCTATTAACAGCTATGGTCATTTAAGGACGTACCAGGTTGCGGAGGTGGAGGAGTTCCCGGAGAAAAACCACCGACCTACGGCCTGTATCTTGGCGACTGTCCCACGTAGGCCTCGGACCCGTGACCCAGGTCGCGCATATATAATTAGTTTCCACTTTCGCCTTATTATATTATAATTCCAACCTCTGACGTTGCGGTTCTTATATATTTTGCTATCGGCATCATCAGCTTCTATTCTCTCAATATCAAGTCATGTTAAGATTTTATAAGTACCCATTACATAAATTTCCAAGAAATCGAAACGATATCACCAAATTCAAGATAATTCTTTCCCCTATAACGAGGGACTTTTTTAGGATGTCACTATTCATTTTGGCTAGCATAGAAAATACACAGATGCACAATGCAATTTAACTAGCAACCGAGCTTCACTTAATCTGATAATAATGATAATAATATAATAATTCGAGGTAAATATACCGCTTTATCACAACCTACACAATGACTACACAACTCCAGTTTTAGAACCTTTAGAAAAAGCAAATTTATCATTTCTTCATTTAAACAGAATGAAAACCATGGCTTGTGCAGTTTTTAAAATTATTACCAATGTAGCTCCGGATTATTTATGTAATCTTTTAACCATGAAATCGTCTTTTTATAACCTCAGGTATGAAAGGCAGCTGGAGCTACCAATAGTAAGAACAACCGGGTATGGACTGAAGTCTTTTCGCTACGACGCCGCCCGGGTGTGGAACATTCTGCCAAACCATTTGAGGAAGGTGGATAGTTATCCAGTTTGCCAGACTGCTGCACTCCTGGGATGGCCCCGTTTGCTCATGTCGTATCTGTACCTGTGTCTAGAGTTTTAATGTTCTTTCAGTGTTTCAGTCTTTATTACTAGTTACCTGCTTTATTTATCTATTATTTATTTATCTTAACTTTTGCTTTGCATGGCGCTTTTATATACCAATAACTGGCAGCATAGTTTCAAGCCCCTCTCTTCTAATCATCATTATAGCTCAATATCTTTTACTTACAAGACCTTGTCGTCCTATTTTAATTTACACTATATTAGTGTATATTATGTCAATTTTTACTCTTTTGCTATATTAGCATGTATGTCCATTACACTTGAAGTGTTTTAACCCTCCCATCATATAGCAACACCTGTGATATGCAGGTGTTTCACTATTACCACTTTACATCATTTTTAGTATAGTACTTTACATTTAGTGCCTGTGATATCTAATTATATGCGGCTATGTTATTGTATGTTTTACTGATTATCTGCTAGCTTTCTGTGAGTGTATAGCTTGTTTGTTGTTTTCTGTTTGCTTTTTATCATGTTTGTCGCAAAAATAGTGCTACAGCGCTAATGTTTCTATGTTTGATATATGCGACGTTAAATAAAGTTTCTTGTATCTTGTATCTTGTTGTTGTATATGGGTCGAACATAATAAAAAAACCATTAATAGTAAACTTCTGAATAACCAAGAACCAGGGTGATGATATTTGGCCAGTTGCATGCAAGGATGAACGGTTACCAAGTTTGTCCCAATAAATGATCTTTACAAATATTCAAGGTCACATATTGGTGAAGTACATGTATGACATCACCTCAAAGCATTTGTGATGCCTTGTGTTTTTCATGTCAATGGTATATTTTACAATCTTTCTATCCTTTCCCATAACTTCAGAAATATGAAGCGTCTTTTTTGTTTCTTTTAATTAGCAATTAGTTTGGATATTGATGGCATGTGTTCCAGGGATCAAATAGGAAATACTTGACCACTTTTAATGTTCACCATTGAAGTTATTTCATTGTGAACTGAGCAGATAACAGAGACCACTAGGAGACACTTTACTGGACTGGTCTCTACAGGTTTAACTATTTGGTCTCTATTTGAATCTTGAAAACTAATATCAAAATCAAAGAATCAATCACAAGACAACCGCCTATTCACATTAGAAAAGCAGGACATAATGAATTAATGGGGTCTAAACTGCCATTTTAACTTGTAAAAGTCTAATTCCAGGGGTGTTGTTATCCTGTTCAAATGTTTGGAATATAAGGAGGCACAGTATTCTAGTGGTAGGACGCCGGACTCGTGACCATTGCATCTTTGAGCAAGATACTTTACCCCGCTTGTTCCAGTCTACTCAGCTGTAAATGATGAATCGCTTCGAGACGGCCTACGGACTAGGTTGTGATAAGCGGTAAATAAGAACCTCAAATTATTATAATTATTATTAATATTTCCCCCCAACAGTTGTCTCTTTATACAGGGTTAACGATTTGGTCTCTTTCAGCACCTTGAAAAGTAACAGCAAAGTTAAGGATCAATCACAACTCCAGGGTATAGGGTTTTTTTCCATTTATTAATTAGAAGTGGTTCTGGTATCTGATTATACAGGCAAACTTCTCCTTAACATGTCCAGACTTCCTACAGTACACTGTAATCAGTTAAGATCCCCCCCCCCCCTCCCTTTAATCCTAATTATGTGTAGTATTTTTCCCACATATATTCCATAAAGTGCATAAAACTAAAACAATCTTTATGAAATAGAAAAACATTTGTATTCTAAGATATCATTGATACAAAACTCGAGACACTATGACTTATGTTTCAGTACGAGAGTTGATATATTCTCTCTGTGTAGCTATCACATTCCTGTATAAGATTAAGTCTAATCCATCCACTGATCGAATCACCCGGGTCCGCAACACAACACTGCTGTATTTCTCACTGTATTCAAGCTCCCCAATGACTTGGAATAAGGCACCAATGTGTGAATCAAACGGTTCCACAAGAGACGTATCCAAGGTTACACTCGCACAAGTCTGTGGGTCTGTTAGTGTTGCTCGACATTCTTCAAAATTGTGCTCATCCAGCCTAAAAAAAACAATGTATTTATGATGAACAAGATGCACTTTGTTGACATAATATTTTTCCATTTAGGGTCTGAATATCCTAGGTATCTAAAGCCAGTAAAAATATTTGGTGATTCGGCTAACCCTATATAGCTACCCTCCCTTTTTTTGTGCCTACCCTCTAACTTTTGAAGACAATTTTCAAAGAAGCAAGATCTTCTTTATAAACCATATAAACTAAATTTTTACCCCAAATTTTTTCCAACATGTTACTGGAAACACATATTTCTTTCTGGCCAAATATTTACACTTTGTTTTGTTTTCCAAGCTAAGGTGCTTGTCATGTTTTACTGTGATCTATAAAGCGTAATGGTGTATGGATCTCGACTCTTATCGTGCTCATCTAAAATTAGCAAAAAACAAAGGGTAGACTCTCACATTTCTGGTCTCAATGTCTACATTTCATACTCAAATACAATTTTTTCCAACCTTTCACCCTGGATTAGGTTGACCTTGGACCATTATAAAAATGTTTGCGCCCCTGCTAAACAGTTTTAAGCGAAGTTGACCCGTGCCAATTAGGTCAGAGACGTATATCCTGTCTTTAATTATGCATGTGTAACAGGAAAGAGAGCTGAGTGCTTCAACTGGGGGGGATTGAACCCGCAATCCCTAGTCGGACGCTCTACCACTGAGCTAAACGGAAATTCCCTTTAGCAGGAAACTAGAAGGGACCGTTATCCTATGTACAGTAAGTATCTGCCACACTACTCCCCCCTTTTTAAAAGTGATTGCCCTTGAACACCACAATGCAGGTTCCCCGTCACCACAGTTAGGGCCACTGACACCATTTGTAATAGGAAAGAAAAACGTATGCTTCCCCGGGATCGAACCTGTGATCCCTAGGTCCCTCATTGGACGCTCTACAACTGAGCTAAAGGGAAATTCTCTCTAGCATAAAGCATAGGTGCTAGACTCGCTAATAGTTTTATGATGTGTATACTATATTATAGCACTATCATATATACACATCATATTACTATTAATGTGTCCAGTGTGTCCCAACACCTGTGGCATAAAGCGCCTTCTATGTGCAATTAATATCTGCCACGTCTCCGATAAGGTCAAACCAGGTAATTTCAAAGACTTCCTCAAGCTCCTGGTAATATCACAAATTCACGATCCTATTGCCGATTCAGTTCTGAGAGATGTTAGTCTAAAAGAAAACATTAACAGACAGAAGACGGTCGACTAATCAATATCATAGATATCAACAAGTTCAGGCACTCCGGGACAAGTGAGCTTAACGTATCAAGATGCCAAGAGGGCCTGTATCACTCATCTGGATATTTAAACAGTCAAAGCAAAATTTTCTCTTTAAATATAATACTGTATTACAAATATTTCCAAATATTGGCTCAGTTTCTCAGCAACACCCATCCCTCCGTCCTCATTGGGGTGGGGCATGGTTTATACAACATTGAACATATTGGGCCAAGGACACTCTTTGAGATTTATCCTGCTTTTAGAAGTTACTACCCTTTCAACAAAAAAGGGGGAAAATGACTGGCATGTTACATGTCTACATGTACAGAATTATGAGCTAAAAATTGACCCGATGCTTTGTTTTGATAAAAATGATACTGAAAATATTATAATGGGAAAAAATTAAGATAAGAGAACAGATACTTTTATCTTTATCTTTTTTGTGCCCATGGATATGTGTTCTATTGGCTTTCAAAAACAATAATTGCATGAAAAATGTGTGTATCAAAATATTTCCAAAGGGAAAATTTGAATAGGAAAAGGGGATTTTTTTCACAAGATATCAAAGGGGGAAAGAGAGAATAAAAGTAGTAAAAATGGCCTAGATAAATCCCTAACTCTATATCAAATTAGAAATTTGATTTTGATAAAATCTCTAGGATAAAAATCCTTACCTTTGACTCTTGGTTATTCAAAACAACCTGTTACAAGATTTTCATTCGTAAACTTTGCCGGGCTCCATCTAAGGAAGCTACTCGTTATATGCCTTATTAATAATAAATAAATAATATACAACATTTATATAGCGCCCTATATAATTTGTAAAATTACTCTTAGGCGCTTTACAACATATGGATAAATAGTAATGGTTATAATTGTGAAAACAAACAACAAAGGCTTGCAATCACTTTCATACATTTAACAAGCAATGCGCACATAATTGAACAAATAAAAGGGTGGTATTTACATGACGTCTTTGCAAAGATTCTAAAATGCAGACGTGAAGAAGTGAGGTTTTATGTCCCTCTTGAACTTGGGCCAGGGTATTTGACTTCCTAATAGCAGATGGTAAGCTATTCCACAACGTAGCTGAAACCCTCCCACAGCATCCATTTCCGTAGGTCACAGCAAGAGATTTTGGGACACACAACAAAGATTCTGACTCCGACCGGATTGATCTTGACGGCTGATACAGGGTAACAAGCTCCTGTAGGTACTNCGTTTCCGTAGGTCACAGAAAGAGATTTTGGGACACACAACAAAGATTCTGACTCCGACCGCAGTGATCTTGACGGCTGATACAGGGTAACAAGCTCCTGTAGGTACTGAGGAGCTGTTCCATACAGTGCCTTGTATGTGTTGTATTTTGAACTGCAACCTGTATCGTAGAGGTAGCCAGTGCAACGAATAAAGCGCAGGTGTGATGTGCTTTCTCTTTCGAGTACGAGTAACTAGCCGTGCTGCAGTGTTCTGGACCCTCTGCAGACGACTAGTTAGTTTGTCAGATATACCACAGAGCAGGGCGTTACCATAATCCAACCGAGAGGTAACAAGTGAATGCACCAAAATCTTGCATGCATCTGCAGTTAGAAACTGCCGAATACAGCCGATGTTCCTGATCTGGTAGTAACAGGATTTGGCAATAGCGTTCACTTNCAGTCACTCCATAAGAGTATTCCAGACGTTAATTAAGTATGCCATGGTCGATGACGTCAAATGCAGCTGACAAGTCCAGCATGACAAGCACCGCTCTGCACTTGCCTTTCATTTCTTCAAAAGCAACCATTTGCAGTTTCTGCCATTTTTGACCTGTGACCAGTCACCTTGGAAGTAGGTCATTTCCACTCCCAAACTTTGTCGGGCTCCAGGAAGCTACCAGCTAAATATTATGATACTGTGCAGTTTTGGTTCTTCAGAAGAAGTTGTTTTAAGTGTTTGACATATTTGACCCTGTGACCTTGAAAGTAGGTTAGGTAGCGGTGTCCAGTAGCATTCGGTGACCATGGGTGATAATTTTGTACAATGAATAACCCCTACAATTTTACATGCATCAAAATTTTAAAAAGAACAAGAATTCCACAGGAGTGGATGTGGCGCCTGCTCAGCACTTATAGTAAGAAAAGTGTTTTGGCTCGAGCTATCACGTAAACAGATATTTTTGTACTCAGCACATGGGTAAATATTGTGAAAAATCCACTAAAATGACCTATTAAGCTAAAGTGTGAGTATTTCTGTTACCTAGTAGTGATATTTAATTTAAGACAGGTTTTAAGAAAGAAAAAAACATTTTTTTTGCATGTTTTGGGGTGTTTTTTGATGTGGTAACCATGGTTTTCATAAGTCCAAAATCTGGAGAAACACTTTAAAAAAAAATCATTCTTCTAAAAACAAGAAACCGCCAATATGGCCAAATTCAATGCTACATTACATTTTCATGTAAAGCATCACATGTGATATTATAAGCATTCTTTAAGATACATAAGCCATGCAAGTTTAGTTGATGTACAACAAGTAGTTACCTACTTAGTAACTGACCTTAACCAATCTTCTTTACCTGGTCACTGAAGCAGAAAATTTAGGTCACAACCAGCATCTGAAGCTTCGCATGTGATAAGCATCCGTAGATACATAAGCCAAGCAAGTTTTGTAGATGTGGGATAATTAATAACTTGGAACCTGAGCTTAACCATTCTTCTAATATAACCTTATAGTGTGCAGAGAGACGCACAGATGGGAATCACCAATCTATAAGCCGTGATTGCCTTGCACTGTGGCCAAAAATGTATTCAAAATGCAGTTTATATAAATATATATAGCGATAAATGTCCATGCGACGGTAAAAATATAAATAAAACAAAACACGAAGATATCATTTATAAATATATATATATATATAAATATGTTGGGTGTTGGTGCAGGATGAATCTACGAGATATGCCCTTTATTTTTAGGATCAGGCCATTTCTACTGTACTCTGCTACCTTAATGTAATTTTCAATCACAAACTGAAGAAGCTATTCATAACAAGATTCTAAAACTTTCGGTTTTTCATAAGTCCATTGAAGTGTCAAGACACATTTACCCACATGTCTGATGACCTTGAAAGTAGGTACGACACTCGACAGACGCTGCGCCATGACATAATTCGGGCAGGTGCGGATGAGCTAAAAATACATGCTTAGCACAATTCGTTAGACTTCAGATCCCAGGCCTAAACCTTAGCATTGTATTATCAGTAAATAAGCAAGATACAGTATCAGTACCTTCCACACAATTTAACCGATTTCCCATCAACACTGTTGTGTTTTTCCTTCGGTATTTCTCCAATAAACACAACTTCCCCATGTGCTTGCATATTTTCCCGCCAAATGATACAAAAGTGTATCGCAGCAAATAATTTTGAGAATCAGGATTAGTTCATTTTCATAAACCATATTTGTATTTCTACCAAGAGGATATAAGTCTTTATATATGTTTACAGTGTTTTATTAATAAATATGGTATGTTTATTATATATTTATAGTCTATGACAAAACGACTCTTCGCATAAACATTCCTTGTTACTATGCCAACGGCTAGAAATAGTCACTATCGCGTAATCAAAATGGCGTCAAGTTGATTACTCTGCCCGGAGTTATAGGTGCAACATTCGGTGTTTATGTTGATGAGATGATTGGTAAGCATTATTAGTTATTCATTACTATCATATTAAGATATATGTACTATGTACTTTTTGGTTTTTTATTAATGATACACTGATATGTTTATAAACACCGAAAAGATATAGAAACAAGCAGTTTTCATTTCGCTCTGTTGCATTCCTATATAAGGTGTGACCTATATATACAGGGGGTTACGTTACACTCACCTTAGCGTATTATATGTGCTTATTTTAAGTTTATTTGGTTATTCATCCCATGCCTGGTATTGGGTTGTATATTGATAGGATAGAAAACTCCAAGAAACAGCTGTAATTTTCACTGACAGTTAACGATAAATGTGTTTTTGGCAAACGTCCAAAATCACCGGGAAAGCCAGATAGAGGAGATATATGTGTGTTGGAATTTGGGACAAGTGCAGGTGTCTTTTTAAAGTTTGTGCAACGAGCTGTAACACTTAATTATCATATGTTATAACGTTATTCTAAATGGTCAGTTTAATCGGACTACAACTGAGTAAGTAAGCCTTTTGGAACACCTGGTAAGATGATTGCCAGTATGTTTACCTCCCAGCCTTCAGGGTGGCTATAACACATGACAATTTTGACCTCTCTGATTCATTTTCTGGACGTGTGAACAGCTTGTGCCTGTTCTTTTTGTCCAGGTCAGACAGCCTATACACATGAAGGCAATATAAATCACACATGTATGCATGAGTCAAGATGTTGAAAACGTTGTTACACATACTTCAAGTCAACGCATACAGTACACATTCTATGTCTAGTTATCATGACCCCTGCAGTTGTATGACTGTAACTATGAAGTAAATATGTGTGTCTCTGCCAGTGTAATGGATTTTATATTCAACTGTTGATAAAATGTTTCATGAGGTGAGAGATTTTGTTATCATTTACTTAAGTTATAAGCCTTCATTTATTGTTTATTTATTAAATGCATTTAATAATATTTTTCTTTATGTTCGTTAAATCACTTTGGTTTCAATAAATTTTATTGTATTTACAAACAGATTAGACAACAGGCAGTGCCTACATTAGTCTTCTCCTGAAACGGTACAACATATATACATTTACAAAGAATAATAAGATATATTTACAAAATTGTCGATAATTAATTACGTATTGAAATAGATGGACATTAATATGGAAATATGTATCACAGCTAGGTTAAATCACTTTGCGCTTAAAAACTGAATGAAATATGGATAAAGGTATTTGATCTTTAAGTTAGAGTGACTATGACATTTGTGTACCAGTTACATGTATATATTTGGACATCATGTTCGGTGATTGTTCATATGATATGGTAGGTTTTGGAGCATCTGCAGTGGTTATTATTTTCAACATGAACATCTGTCAATATAAATTATAATTTCAGTGCCATCGCAAGAACTGTTTATTTATTTTTTTTGATTTTTTTAAAAATTCCTTTTTATCAGGTTAGTTTAAATCTCTCCTTAGAATTTATGCGAGTTATTATATTGTCTGACTGATATATATATATATTTATATATTTGTGTGTGTTACTGTATTATGTTTGAAAAGATGAAAATAGAAAAATAATGACATTGAAATCTTTTCTGTCTATGCATGTGTTCGTGCATGATGTATCATGTACTCTCTGAAAGACCTTAGCTACCTTGCTCTGTTTATTAATAAAAAAAAAATGACAAACATAAATATACATTGTATTGATCCGCTCGGCGGTGCTTGTTCTAAATGCCGGTTAGGTCCAAACAGAATGGAACAACTCAGTTAAACTTTTGAAAAAAACTCTCACCCTGTGCTTTTAGAAACACACTAAGGGCTTAAACATATATATTAACTTGTTTGCTTAACATGTACAGATTAAAGTATAAATTTACTAATTTTGTCTAACAACATTATTAGCTCACCTAGCACGAAGTGCCAAGTGAGCTTATGCCGTGGCGCGGCGTCCGTTGTCCGTCCATCCTCGTCCGTCAACTTTTCCTTTAAACAACTTCTTCTGAAGAACGGACAGGCCTAGAGTCACGATATTTGGCTGAAAGCTTCGTTGGTAGGAGCCCTACAAAGTTTGAGAACGAAAATGACCTTGACCTGTTTTCAAGGTCAAAGGGGTCAAATATGTCAAAAACTTCAAACGACTTCTTCTAAAGAACTAAAAGGTATAGAATCTTCATATTTGGCTGATGGCTTCCTGGGATAGAGCCCAACAAAGTTTGAGAATGAAAATGACCTTGACCTACTTTCAAGGTCACAGGGGTCAAATGTGTCAAACACTTCAAACGACTTCTTCTGAAGAACTGAAAGGTATAGAATCTTTATATTTGGCTGGTGGCTTCCTGGGATAGAGACCAACAAAGTTTGAGAATGAAAATTAGTTTGACCTACTTTCAAGGTCACAGGGGTCAAATATGTCAAAAACTTCAAACGACTTCTTCTGAAGAATTAAAAGGTATAGAATCTTCATATTTGGCTGATGGCTTCCTTGGATGGAGCCCAACAAAGTTTGAGAATGAAAATTACCTTGACCCTCTTTCAAGGTCACAGGGATCAAATGTGTCAAACACTTCAAATGACTTCTTCTGAAGAACTGAAAGGTATAGAATCTTTATTTTTGATTGATGGCTTCCTTGGATAGAGCCCGACAAAGTTTGAGAATGAAAATTGACCTTGACCTTCTTTCAAGGTCACAGGAGTCAAATGTGTTGGACACTTCAAACGACTTCTTCTGAAGAACTGAAAGGTGTATAATCTCTACATTTGGCTTGTAGCTTCCTAGGAAAGAGCTGAACAAAGTTTAAGAATGAAAATGACCTTGACCTTCTTTTAAGGTCACATGAGGCAGATATGTCAAACACTTTTAAACGACTTCTTCTGAAGAACTGGTAGTTATAAAATCTTAATATTTGGCAGGTGGCTTCCTGGGAAAGAGCCAAACAAAGTTTGCGAATGAAAATGACCTTGACCTACTTTCAAGGTCACAGCGTTCAAATATGTCAAACAGTTCAAACAGCTTCTTCTGAAGAATTAAAAGGCATAAAATTATAATATTTGGCTGGTGACTTCCCGGGATAGAGCTCACCAAAGTTTGCAAATGAAAATGACCTCAACCTACTTTAGAGGTCACAGAGGTCAACAACATTTTAATGGATTTGTTCTTGAGAACTAAAAGGAATGGATTCATAAGATTTGGCTGGTAGCTTTTTGGAATAGAGCTAACCAATTTGAGAAGGAAAATGACATTGACCTACTTACAAGATCACAGGGAAAAATATGTCAGCAACTTCTGAAGAAGAATCAAAAAGCATAGAATCTTATAATAATACTTTGCTGGTAGTTTCAACAGATGGAGCCAACAAAGTTTGCGAGGGAAATATTTTTAATGCAATATAATATTTAATGAGAATATTTTGCTATGACTGCTTAAATATTCAGGTGAGCGATACAGGCCCTCTTGGGCCTCTTGTTAGAGGTAGCTTTCTTTCCAGCTACAAATGTAATTACGCAAAGGAGACTTCTGCATTAAAACGTGATCATCAGAATTGTTTCATATATAGATGTTCTGCACGTGTTTGTAGTTCGTAAAAAAAAAAGTAAAATAAAAATAAGATTTACATTTACATGCTAACAGTGTTTTCTCAGCTCTGGTTGGAGTGTGGTAGTAGACAGGGTTAGACACTAATTGTTTTTGCTTGATAGTCCACAGGACTAATTGAATGGATTATTTACTAGTCCTTCTTCAATGTAACTAGTCCAAGATTTCCTGATAAGGAAACATCGCGATCTACAGCACGAAACATCAAAAGTAATTGACTGTAGGGGACTTGAATTAACTCCAAGAGAAAAAGTATTTATAAAGTTTTTGACAAATTTTGACAATTTTCATGCAATATATCTTATTTTAAGCAATTTTTTAATTTTAAACAGGAACATTCTTATTTTATAATCATATTTTTCACAAGTCCAAAGGGCCAGTTAGGTTAGGTGATTCACTAGTTCTTGCTGAAATCTACTAGTCCAGGACTAGCAGACTAGTGTTAGACATCAATATGTTCAGGGGTCGACACTTTTAAGTGTATATAGGTGAGTGTTCGCATTTTTGTTTCATATTTGATGTATTGATACTGATGTCAATAACAACCTGGCTTTATTTTTGTATAAAGGACAGATAAGATTCATCAGTTTGGAAATATGTAATATCAATGTTTTACTTAAAACACAAACAATGTACATATTAAACGTTGTGACACGTTTGATACAAGTTTACATTGTTTGTGTATAAAGTAAAGCTTCGATATAACAATAGGGCTTTACTGAAGGACAGTTAACATAGTAGCCATAAAATACAACTCGTTTTGTGAACAGCTGCCAGATATAGCTGGAATCAAACTTATCTTGTGCATGCATACAATGCTATGGAAAGAGAATGCTTGTATTTCACATTCTAATTTTATAATTCTTTACCTAAATTTAAGATAAGTACTCATACATTTATCCTGTTTGTCAAAAATAAACATGATTATAGATATCAATTAAGTAGTATTGGTATGTATCTATATATATATATCTACAGTAGTATATATCTTTATGTGCATGTACAATTTCATTGTCCATGTATAATAATATATTGATGTTATACCTTTAAACATCTATGAAGTTATGTCATAAATTTGTACTGGGATATATATCATCTACATTTCTTTTTCTTTGCTTGTAGGACCCAACGGAATATGTCATGGTGGAGTTTTTACATCAGAAATGTGCCATTTTGAATGTGAAAGAATCTGTTAGGATTTTTATGTGTGCTATGATGAGGGGGCTTTCCCTAAAATGCATGGATAACTAAATGACGTCACTTCGTCTGTATCACTATAACCCCTCTTCCTGGACGACAGCTGGTAGAATGCCAAGTCTGACAGGACCGAGTCGAAATGATTACCCTGGGTACTCACCGAGCGGGAAAGGATATAGTACTACTTCCTCCACCCTGCCAAGGACAACCAGAGCGTCCAGCCTTCCCAGAAGTCCTGCTTATAGTAGTACCAGGTCAAGACCTCCAAGTTATACTGGACCATCCTCTAGGCCGACATCGCGGTCCAACATCACAACAAAGGTGACAGCATCAAGGGCGTTACCGGCTGGACCTGGGCCTTTGGATTCATCAGGAAAGAAGTTAAGCAACTTCAGTGTGAACGGAGGGCCTTCCTCTTCGACCCGTGAATTTAAAACACGTTCAACTACTAGTTCCTCAAGTATTGGTAGTAATGGACCAATCAAAGCTGACCATAGCAGCACATATTCTAGTGGTTATGTAACGTCAACGCTACCTAGAGGGGAGCGACCGCCCAGTGGGTTGAAAGGTAGGAGGTCATCAAGTATTGCAAGCCTCAGTGAGAAAACCTCATCACTCCGACTCGAGGATGACGACCATAATTTATACACACCCAGGTCACGGATATCGGACAGACAACAAGATTCATCCTTGCCACGTACCTCAAAACGTGACCAGTATGAATTGGACAGAGATAGTCGGGAAAATAGAAGAACCAGTCGGACCAGTAGTGTTGAGCCCAAAGAGACAAGTAGTAGCACTTCAGACTTTTTCTCCAAGAATTTTTCGTCTTCAAATTCTAGACTTAGTAGTCCCTCTTATGAAAAGGAGTCAAGTCTGCCGCCATCAGGGCGGAAATATGAAAACGGAATAGATTTAGTGTCAAGAGCAGGACGCAGCACACCCAGCTCTTATACCTCTACTGTGGTAAGTGGTATATCATTTTGATTTGTCAGCGAGATTTAGCATACCCCATATTTGCAAACAAAGTTTGCGCAGAAAAAATAATCTCATCTTTCTAACGTTTACGTTAAACATATCGTAAAAGGTTTTAATTTCATCCTGTTGCCTTTTCCGCATTGCGGCATCAGTGTTTTTCAAATTTGTAATCACGTCATTGTTGAGCCATTGGGACGTCACCCCCATGTAAGATAGACTCAGCAAGCATGGCTATCTTACATGACCAGGGTTATCTTACATGACCGGATATGAGAGACAAATCTCGCTGTGTGATTTGTGTTCATCTAAAGGGCTCAGAGGAAAAAATAATATTTTACCAAATTTGAAAACCCCTCGGATGGAATTTCCCTATCCTACACCCTTGAGCATGAAAGAGTCTTATAATATTACGATTATAGACAAGGTATCTCTCTTTGATGTTTTTGGTATAAGTTCTGAGGGAATCCAAACAATCGATCATTTGGTTTTTGGAACATCAGAGATGTATAATAAATCAGTCTATTCTTAGTGGAATCAATTTCAATGATTTTTGTTAGTTCATGTCATATTACGTAAAGATGGATAAATACTATGTGTTCGATAATTTGATGTTTTTTATCACAACTTTTATTCAGAAAAAGAGGAACCACACATATATATAATATGTGATACATACTGTATTTATCTTGGATATCTATTGCAGTTCAGTAGAAATATTAATACCAACAGGTGTTATTTCATTGGCTTGCAATAAGCCCACCCTTCACTTTGAATGTGAGATTAAGTGTTGACCCCGGGCCCTGAGCTTATTGCCAAAGAAATACAGTAATTATAAATGCTAGTCTCTTCAATGAAATGTAACATTATTATAAACCAGTGCGTATGTGTTAGAAGTTCAGAAAACCAGTATCACGGACAGTAGGTGTATTTTGACACAAAAACTTAAATGGAGATTGGCCTTTAAACATTACAAACAAAACAGATAATTATTTGTGCCACCAGAAGAATTTTGCTTTTCATAATCAGTGCAACACCAAAGCCACTGAATTGAGAAAGTAAAATTTTAACAAAAGGGAAGAGCAGTTAGCATGATCAGCTTGTACACATCTTACATCACTTTTTTAAAACTATCAATAGGGCCCAGGCCGTCGGATTAAACTATCCATATAAGGCACAGGCCTTCAGATTAAACTATCCATAGGGCCCAGGCCGTCGGATTAAACTATCCATATAGGGCCCAGGCCTTCAGATTAAACTATCCATAGGGCCCAGGCCGTCGGATTAAACTATCCATATAGGGCCCAGGCCTTCAGATTAAACTATCAATAGGGCCCAGGCCTTCAGATTAAAGTATTAATAGGGCCCAGGCCTTCAGATTAAACTATTAATAGGGCCCAGGCCATCAGATTAAACTATCAATAGGGGCCAGGCCTTCAGATTAAACTATCAATAGGGCCCAGGCCTTCAGATTAAACTATCCATTGGGCCCAGGCCTTCAGATTAAAATATCCATAGGGCCCAGGCCTTCAGATTAAACTATCAATAGGGCCCAGGCCTTCAGATTAGGAAAAAGTGGGAATCTTTTTTTTTTATCAAAGCTGATTTATATAAACCAATTATGCACAAATCATTTTAACAGCAGTTCTTTTGTAATATTTTTTATTTGGAAACTTTTGAAAGATATTGAAAAAACCAGTTATCATACTATTATTATTTTTAGATTAATTTTGAACCCTGGATTATAATTCTGGTGTTCACAGTTTGTATTAATCATGATTGTTCTATTTCAGCAGGTTAATAGCAGTCGATTTGTAAATGCAGGAAAGACAGGTCTCCGTAATCTAGGAAATACCGTGAGTAAACATACACACAGGTCTCCGTAACCTAGGGAATACAGGGAGTAAAAATACACACAGCTTGCTCTCCGTAACCTAGGAAATACAGTGAGTGAACATACACACAGGTCTCCATAACCTAGGGAATACAGTTAGTAAACATACACACAGGTCTGCGTAATCTAGGAAATACAGTGAGTAAACATACATACAGGTCTCCGGAATCTAGGGAAAACAGTGAGTAAACAAACACACAGGTCTCCGTAATCCAGGAAATACAGTGAGTAAACATACACACAGGCCTCCGTAATCTAGGAAATACAGTGAGTAAACATACATACAGGTCTCCGTAATCTAGGGAAAACAGTGAGTAAACAAACACACAGGTCTCCTTAATCCAGGAAATACAGTGAGTAAACATACACACAGGTCTCCGTAATCTAGGAAATACAGTGAGTAAACAAATACACAGGTCTCCGTAATCTAGGAAATACAGTGAGTAACCATACACACAGGTCTCCGTCACCTAGGAAATACAGTGAGTAAACATACACACAGGTCTCCGTAACCTAGGAAATACAGTGAGTAAACAAACACACAGGTCTCCGTAATCTAGGAAATACAGTGAGTAAACATACACACAGGTCTCCGTAACCTAGGAAATACAGTGAGTAAACATACACACAGGTCTCCGTAATCTAGGAAATACCGTGAGTAAACATACACACAGCTTTCTCTCCGTAATCTAGGGAATACAGTGAGTAAACATACACTCAGCTCTCTGTAATCTAGGAAATACAGTGAGTAAACATACATACAGGTCTCCGTCATCTAGGGAATACAGTGAGTAAACAAACACACAGGTCTCCTTAATCTAGGAAATACAGTGAGTAAACAAACACACAGGTCTCCCTAATCTAGGGAATACAGTGAGTAAACAAACACACAGGTCTCCTAAATCTAGGAAATACAGTGAGTAAACATACACACAGGTCTCCGTAATCTAGGGAATACAGTGAGTAAACATACATACAGGTCTCCGTAATCTAGGGAATACAGTGCGTAAGCATACACACAGCTTGCTCTCCGTAATCTAGGGAATACAGCGAGTAAACATACACACAGCTTGCTCTCCATAATCTAGGAAATACCGTAAGTAAACATACACACAGGTCTCCGTAATCTAGGAAATTCCGTGAGTAAACATACACACAGCTTTCTCTCCGTGATCTAGGGAATACAGTGAGTAAACATACATACAGGTCTCAGTAATCTAGGGAATACAGTGCGTAAGCATACACACAGCTTGCTCTCCGAAATCTAGGGAATACAGCGAGTAAACATACACACAGGTCTCCGTAATCTAGGAAATTCCGTGAGTAAACATACACACAGCTTGCTCTCCATAATCCAGGAAATACCGTAAGTAAACATACACACAGGTCTCCGTAACCTAGGGAATACAGTTAGTAAACATACACACAGGTCTCCGTAATCTAGGGAATACAGTACGTAAGCATACACACAGCTTGCTCTCCGTAATCTAGGGAATACAGTGAGTAACCATACACACAGGTCTCCGTCACCTAGGAAATACAGTGAGTAAACATACACACAGGTCTCCGTAATCTAGGAAATACAGTGAGTAAACATACACACAGGTCTCCATAACCTAGGAAATACAGTGAGTAACCATACACACAGGTCTCCGTAACCTAGGAAATACCGTGAGTAAACATACACACAGCTTTCTCTCCGTAATCTAGGGAATACAGTGAGTAAACATACACTCAGGTCTCCGTAATCTAGGAAATACAGTGAGTAAACAAACACACAGGTCTCCTTAATCTAGGAAATACAGTGAGTAAACAAACACACAGGTCTCCATAATCTAGGAAATACAGTGAGTAACCATACACACAGGTCTCCGTCACCTAGGAAATACAGTGAGTAAACATACACACAGGTCTCCATAACCTAGGAAATACAGTGAGTAACCATACACACAGGTCTCCGTCACCTAGGAAATACAGTGAGTAAACATACACACAGGTCTCCGCAACTTAAGAAATACAGTGAGTAAACATACACACAGCTTGCTCTCCGTAATCTAGGGAATACAGTGAGTAAACATACACACTGCTTGCTCTCCGTAATCTAGGGAATGCAGTGAGTAAACAAACACACAGGTCTCCTTTATCTAGGAAATACAGTGAGTAAACATACACACAGGTCTCCGTAACCTAGGAAATACCGTGAGTAAACATACACACAGGTCTCCGTAATCTAGGAAATACAGTGAGTAAACATACACACAGGTCTCCGTAACCTAGGAAATACCGTGAGTAAACATACACACAGGTCTCCGTAACCTAGGAAATACCGTGAGTAAACATACACACAGGTCTCCGCACTTATAATCATTATACAAACTTTATTTATTTTACAACATTTATTGAACAAGTTATGTCAACTTTTGTTAATCACTCTTGTTGGCTCAGATGGAAGCTAGCAGGGGGTCTCAGTGTGGGAGGGAACCGGAGTCCCCGTAGAAACTCCCACAGGACTGGGCAGGTAACCCAATACCTTTTCTGTTTTCATGTCTTATCAGGGTGTTGAACCACGACCATCTTGGTGAACGGCGAGATCTACGTAGAGTGCCAGAAAGCACCATCACTTACAATTAGTCAGGATCAGGATCACCTTTCATGGGCTTAGGATAAATTCTACTAAAAGGATTCTTATTAAAAAAAGAACCTAGCAGTCTGTTGACTCATATATATATCTTATAAACTTTTCTTTTTAATTTGATAAACAAAAACTAGCCTGCCAATTCACCTGGATTTCCTTTTTAAAAATATATATATATTACAAGTAGTAATTATAATTATATATATAAATGGTCAGTGGTAAACTTACACTACTGTGAAAGTTTACGATGTGATCTTACTAAAGCCCTGGGACTAGTAACTGTGTCTAATGATATTAAAACAATCATTGTGTCCGGAGAATAGAAATTAGAAAAGCAAAACATGTCAGTGGCTTGTCTCAAAGCTAAGCCTTTTATCTCTCCCGAGGACCATCTGTAAATGGTGAAAGGCTTAAGGTCATGTAATTTATTTTATTTCATTATTTTATGTAAAGTTCTATTATATTATCTACTTGATCAAAGTGGTTTCAACAGAATTCAAATATCTTGACATTTCATCTGGTGGAGATAAAATCAATAATCTTATGTTACTGTGGGCTTCCAGGAACTTGGGATTGTGTCTGTAAATAATTTAAACTTGCTTGTCTCCCTTTGTTCATTACTGGACCTTTACATCCAAAGTGCTGTAAAATCTTCGTCTGAACCCAACAGTTATTAAATCTAGTTCTCACGTGCTGTTTCCGGGTAATTGTGTACAAAACTTGTTTGCCACAACAGGTTATAAAACATCACTTCAGTTTATAGCAGATATCGCTGTTTACATTGGGTAAACTACATACATTAGTAGTGTTGTTCCGACAATCGTACAACCAACTCAAATTAATTGGTTGATAAATTTCATATTGATCAATCAGTTTAAATGTTGCATGCTATTTTCTGTTGATATCTGTTGATTTACTCTTATTTCAAATTCTAGTAAGTAGTAGGTTAAAACTAAAAGTGTAAAAGTGTAAAATTAATGTCAAATGGATATGTTAACCGAGTTGGCCTTTGATTTTACATGGCAAAATTATGCTGCAAATCCCAATTCTAAGTGGTATACCAACATTATTACATATATTTCAATAGATTTACTAGAGCTTGGATGTTCCTATTATAATCGTTCATTAAAAGTCTTCCAATAATTGATCATGATTTCCACTTCCGATTCCCAACACTATATATATATATAATCAAAACAGACTTTGATTATTTTGCTTACATTATTTTTCATAGATGTGCATGCCTCAGATATTGACTTTCCAACTCTTTGTTTTAGTAACTAGTAATTAGGTTGTTCCAGATATTGACTTTCAAACTGGTTTATTTACTACAGTAAAATTCTTGTTGTACAATATCTAACCTGGAGGACAGGTGTTTTTCCTTAATTAGTGTTTAGGAGTAATTATTGAACAACGTTTACCTTTGCAGTGTTTTATGAACTCGGTCCTGCAGTGCCTTAGTAATACCAAGCCTCTGATTGAGTTCTGTCTGAACGAGGAGTTCATGTCGGAGAAGAACACGACCACCAGCTCTATGAAGGGTCAACTCATGACAGGTAAAGTAAATAAGGCCAATTTTTTTTTTTTTTGTGTTACTGCTAACCCTACCTTCCCTAGATTTTTGTGCCTTCCCTTAAGTTTTTTTTCACATTTAGTGACTTTTAAAGTCAGAACTCCGGCTCTGCATTGAAAACTTGTTTTTCTGGCATGACTAAAGCTTTGATAAATCATATTTGAAAAGAAAAGTATGCCGAGTGGAACGTTTATACCGGAGACGAAGTACGAAACATGATCAACCTTTTGGCAGTGGCACAGGGATCCTTCAAGCTGAGAGATATTGACCGTTTGTAAATTCTAGAATTGTTTGGAATGTTGTGTGATGTCACCTATCTCCAGGATCAGTGGTAATGGGCATTGCTTTCATTTCATGAGATATTTTACAAAAAATTCTTTGTGAAAATCAAAGTCAGTTCTTTGTGAGAGTCAAAAGATAGATTACTCAGGGACTAAAAATTCCTTGAGTCCGAGGTCAGGGACCCCAATTTATGACTAAAAAATCTGTTGCGGCCTACATTTCATAGTCCATTGACTTTGTCAGCATCTCCATCAACATTAAGTTTTTGCATTTAAGTTAGTTTCTCTGAAACTAAAGGAACTAGACCAACCAAACTTGACATGTGCATTGATGGTCAAAGCGGAGTACATGTGAGACATGGCAATCAGAATGGCTTGTATAATCATAATTAAAGTGGTTATTTTAGCCTAGTACATATATTGTTTACTTTTAACTAATATTATTTGTTGACCATAATATCGTGGATGGACCTACAGACCACAATGTCAGGACCCAAATAAAAGCAAAAAACTATAGCCCCTGACTTGCTTCAGATATTTTGTTTTTGATATTTTCCAGCCTATGCCAATTTGATGACCGCAATGTGGAAAGATAATGATGTCTCACATACATCGCCCAGTGCTTTCAAGATGCAGGTCCAGAAATTTGCTCCCAGGTTTACAGGCTATGCGTAAGTGTTGTTTTTTTTAGGTCACCTGAGCTTTAGCTCAAGTGACCTATTGCTATCCGTTTTCGTCCGTCGTCGTCCGTCGTCCGTTAACATTTTACTTTTCAAACTTAAAGTCAAGTTCTGCTGGGCCGATTGAACTGAAAGTTGGTAGGAATGATCGCCTCATGGTCCTGACAAAGTGTTATTATTTTTCGGGTCGATCAGAAATCCAATATGGCCGCCACGGCCGCCATTTCGAAAATACCTATTTCAAACTTAAAGTCAAGTTCTGCTGGGGCGATTGAACTGAAAGTTGGTAGGAATGATCGACTCATGGTCCTGACAAAGTGTTGTTATTTTTCAGGTCAATCAGAAATCCAATATGGCCACCACAGCCGCCATTTTGAAAAACTATTTCAAACTTAAAGTCAAGTTCTGCTAGGCCGATTGAACTGAAACTTTGTAGGAATGATTGACTCATGGTCCTGACAAAGTGTTGTTATTTTTCGGGTCGATCAGAAATCCAATATGGCCGCCACGGCCGCCATTTTGAAAACCTATTTCAAACTTAAAGTCAAGTTCTGCTGGGCCGATTGAACTGAAAGTTTGTAGGAATGATCGACTCATGGTCCTGACAAAGTGTTGTTATTTTTCGGGTCGATCAGAAATCCAATATGGCCACCACGGCCGCCATTTTGAAAAACTATTTCAAACTTAAAGTAAAGTTCTACTTGGCCGATTGAACTGAAACTTTGTAGGAATGATCGAATCATGGTCCTGACAAAGTGTTGTTATTTTTCGGGTCAATCAGAAATACAATTTGGCTGCCATGGCCGCTATTTTGTAAATACCTATTTCAAACTTAAAAACAAGTTCTAATAGGCCGATCTCACTTAAAATCCGTCTAGGAATGATCAGCTCATGGTCCTGACAAAGTTAAGTTAACATTATACTATTTTTTAATCAAATTGGTACATATTTCAACAACAAAAATAAATACTGTAGGACTCAGGTGACCGTTAAGGCCCATGGGCCTCTTGTTATTACATGTATTCAAGCGTAAGCAGTAAGTTTGATTTTAAGTTGTGTTTTTCATTCATAGAGAAAGCATACTAGTTGATATAACTGTTAAATACAAATCTTAATAACCTCATTTTGGTTGTTGAGGACCTGACAGATATGCTGTTAAACAAAATGGTTCTGCCTCGAAAGTCTAGTTTCTTTATCTTAAGCCTGACTTACTGTTCTGTATCATTTTATTCATCCTAATGTCAGAAAGGATCCATTATCCTGATTTATAGATAAGTTAGAATCATATATATACTCCACGTCGCTGTGTATCTGAGTTTTAAATGTTGTGTTGTACAGACAACAAGACGCCCAGGAGTTCCTACGTTACCTGTTGGAGGGTCTACATGAGGACGTCAATAGAGTACGCACTAAACCCAAACCTGTCACAATCAAGGACGAGGACTTCACCAAGTACGTACGCTCAGTCGGTCAAGGGAATACCCCTGTCTTTGGTCACATACAAATTTTCATAGAATCATCCTGAAAATTGTGGAAGACATATGTGATATCAAATCGGAATGTAATCTAGTAATCATTACATAATGAGGGTACAGTGTGGTTTACATTTATAAGGTAAATCTAACAGATTATCTCCCTCCCCACCCCCAAAAAAAGAAAAAAAATATCTTGCATGGTTGAATTTGCTTTCCTGCTTACCCGGTATTACTTCAAATGCAGATTATTAATTAAACTTTATGGTTGTTACAGCTAAATAAGGCATAAAACACCCTTGATTGGGATATATATGTTTTACTGTGATAGCCCTTAAATCAATGAGGATTGGTAGAAATTATTTTCTCCTGTCTTTTTTCCGTGAAAAATATAAATTTATTCAACTTTCAAGGTAGGTCCTCCCAAAATTTATGTGTGAAATGGTTCTTTTCATTATTTTAACCTGCAAAATATTTCAAAATCATCATTTTTCTTGATTATCTTATATATCACAAACTTTCATGTAAATTAAATTTACACAAGATAAAACAGATTTCTGTAGCATTACAATGCCTAACTTATCGTATAATAATTATGTGTTTTTGATTTCAGTGATAGTGAGAAAGCAAGCGAATACTACAGAGTTTATTTGTCGTACGACAATAGCAGGATAGTGGGTAAGTCAGCATGGAAGGGTTAGTAGTTAGTGGGAGCCCTTTCTTAGTCTTGGATAATCAAGTCCCTTCAAATTCACGTATTGATAAAAAGTAAAAAACATTTGTGTGGTGTATCTTGATTGTTTTATATAAAACGAACTGGTTTGAGATTTGCATCTGATATTTGATGGAAGTGTTTTAAAATTGTTATTTGTAGGGACTAACAGAAATCTTCAGCAGCTACAGTCAAACTTGTATTAGAGAACAAAGGGAGGGCTCAAAATTGTCCTTATAACAGAGGGGGTCTGTTGATGGGGTATTATTGTATATGGTTAAATGTATTATGAGGATGAGAAAGTTGTAGACTTTTAAGATAGAATATTGATTGGCCTGGAAAAAGGGACCATCTCTCAAGCAGATTTGATTACACTCGAGAAATCTTTATTTAATGGACAACTGGCTAATGGAAAACTGAATTAAGGCCAGCGGTCCAGGTCTGTGTGTCAGATTATATACTCTGTATTGGAGAAGAATGACCTTATTTGTGAGAAAAAATTAAAACCTTTTCTGTCATTGCATGTTGTTCTTTGATAAAGAGTTGGTATGTTATACAATTTGATAATCATGTATTTTTTTTTTCCAGAAATATTTGTTGGCCAGTTGAAAAGTGAATTGAGATTTAAAGATTGTGGTCACAAATCAACAACTTTTGATCCGTTTTGGGATTTGTCTGTGCCTATACCAAAGGTGAGTGGTGAAAAGTCATCGCTGAGGAAAAAAGTTGTTAGGAATGATAATTTAACAGTACAAGTATTGTAAACTCTGATAGCACCTAGTGTTGCCTTTCACACTTTCATCTTCATTGTAAAGCCATATATTGATATGCCTGCTTTCACGCTGCAAATAGGTGGTCACACCTGGTACCAGGTATATTGTTAAACATGATAACCAACCCTCACTTATTGGGGAACCACCATTGATATATTAAACCATTAGCTAGTTCAAGTTCTCTTGAAAAGTGCCGGTAGCTCCTCCACTTCTGAGGAATCCTAGTTAATACGTTGGTCTGTTTGCCTTCACAGAGAGGCTCCACTGTCAGTATACAGCAGTGTATCAACCTGTTTATGAAGGAAGAGGAACTTGATCATGATGAACGACCAGTAAGTTCTCTTCATTCCAAACATGACAAGTTTAATAGAATTTCATGTATGAACTTAAAGCTGAGTTGTATGTATGTACAACAAATAAAACCTGTTAACATCAAAACCATTATTTCATGCTACAACATGTGTATGTACATTGTATTTATCCTTTTTATCACATAATCAAGATTTGTGTCATTTATTCGTGTAAAAAAACAATTTTCATGAAACCTTGAAATGTAAAAAGCCGCCATTTTGACTCCAGTGCACAAGTCTGTGACGTCATGTACTTGTCCTATGCAGGACATCCCAATTGAAACAATTGAAACTAACAACCAATCACAGGGCTGATAGGTCATATTACACGGGTTAGTACGCAAACAAATATGACATGGGTATACATTGGATATCACAGTACATTATGTGATAATATACATTGGATAACACAGTACGTTATGTGATAATATACATTGGATATCACAGTACATTATGTGATAATATACATTCGATATCACAGTACATTATGAGATAATATACATTGGATAACACAGTTCATTATGTGATAATATACATTGGATAACACAGTACATTATGTGATAA